CACAAAATAAAGTCACTAAAAATATCAATTAAATTGAACCTCTATTTATGAGGTGAGATATTATTTGACAACTCCAGGTTTGGCAAAAGTCGAAAGGTTTGCCAGCATAATCTGTTGGTAAAGGTAAGAGGGAAGCAGGTCCTCTCCTGCATGGCTGGTGAGAATGGAAAAACAGTCCAAACCATACAGAAGGAAATTCAGCACTGTGCTGCCAATGCACCTATGCATTTTCTCATTCATTGCCAATCCCCCATTTTAACATTTATCCCTTAAGTACACTGACAAAAATGCAGAAAAATAACACATAATGCTATTTATGGCAGCATTATTTGTCAAAAAAAAAAAAGACCCCCAAACCATCAAATGGTATTCAGTAGGAACTGGTTGAATTATCACAGAGGTCCTCAAACTTTTTAAACAGGGGACCAGTTCACTGTCCCTCAGACATTCCACACATGCACACTGAGGGCCCCAGACAAGTCGGCTGCTAAGCTGGCCGGTATCAGCGGCAAAAACACCCGGCGGGCTGGATACATGTTTTCGGCGGGCCGCATGTGGCCTGCGTGCCATAGTTTGAGGACCCCTGAATATATTCACACAGTGAAAGATTATCCAACCTTGAAAATGAATGTGTCTCTCTATATAAGCATGGAGAGGTCTCCAGGATACATCGTTAAGTGAGAAAAGCAATGTGAAGAAAATAATGTATGGTTTACCTACTATTTCTCTAACAAGGAAGAATATGCACTACATGTATAAAATATAATACATATGTTTTTCACATATATGAAAAGGCAGTAACAGGATACTCTGAAAACTAAACCAACAAAAATTTACTTTCATGGGGATGGGAGAAGCAGAGTGGAGGGAACAAGGACGGAAGCTGGAAACTGATGTCTTGGTTACATAATATTTCATAGATTTTCTTTTTATTTTTTAAATATATTTTTTATTGATTAAGATATTACATATGGATAGAGAGAGAGAGAGTTAGAAACATCGATGAGAGAGAAACATCTATCAGCTCCCTCCTGCACACCCTCTACTGGGGATGTGCCCACAACCAAGGTACATGCCCTTGACCGGAATCGAACCTGGGACACTTTAGTCCACAGGCTGATGCTCTATCCACCGAGCCAGACTGGCCAGGGCAGCAGTTGCTTTTTATGATTCCTCTTTAAGGGTTGACAGCATTAAATTTAAGGAAGTTCATGCAAAGTCAAAAATAGAAGTTTGTCTAAATTATATTTAATG